TATGAAACCACGCGCGCTCGTAGTAGCAGCAGTGTTAGTAGTGGTTGTAGTAGAGCAGAAGTGGTGGTGGTGGTGGTGGTGGTCGTGGTCGTGGTCGTAGTCGTGGTCGTGGTCGTGGTCGTGGTCGTGGTCGTGGTAGTGGTAGTGGTAGTGGTGGTGGTAGTAGTAGTAGTAGTAGTAGTAGTAGTAGTAAGAAGAAGAAGATGATTCGCAAACAGAACAACAGTGGTAATCATAGTAATTGTTATGTGAACCCTAAGCCGTACTTAGCAACAAAACCGTAGTGATGTGAATATGATGGTTACTATTGCTATAGCCCGCATTTCTGGACTTGGAGGCCCCGCTGGCCGGAAGCGCGCCGCGTGCTTGGAGAGCTGCGCAACATGGAGGCCGACCCAGACAGGTTTCAGGCTTTTGGGGTTTGGGGTTTGGGCATGCATCCATTGCGGATCCCGAAGCAACCACTTGAGGACGAACTACGTACAACCCTGCGCGTTCAGTGTGCCTGACGCTGGGCACGCTTATGCGCATGAAAGATGTCATGAGGGGGCCCGGAATGGGATCTGCGCCGCAATCACCCTCCTTGAGAAACTGCCGGTAAAGACGATACTGAGGCCTCATGCGCAGTGGGACTTTGCATGGGGGTCCGCTGCATCGCAAAGCAAACGTTGAGCCGAGTTTCCACGGGCAGTTTTGCTTGCAGACAGAACTGCACGCAGAACGTGAGAGCAGACTAACACTTGTGAAGTGAGTCTGAGAGATCTGAGAGGCTGAGCACACAAGGATATCTGAGGGCACTGGACCTGATGCACCCAAGCTGCTTGACCGACACTTTTTAAAAGGTGCAGGTCTGGCAGCTTTGTCCCACTTAGTAACATTAGCCGGGTCTAACCAACCCGTTTCAGCAGTGAAAGCAAAATACACTTCCATCACCGAGAAACCCTGTTCATCTGGAACCCAGCGATGCCGCGAGCACCAGTCGAATAACACTTGCGCGCAAGGCGGGAACGACAAGAACACATTCCAGTTTGGGACACTATCCCGACCTGGAAAAACAACTCCTGCGTCGGCAGAAAGCATACCGACTCTGTTTTGAAAGATGTTTGGCAATGGGGGGGTTTGGGGCTGGGGGTGTAGGGGAGGAAGGTACCCAAACACTGAAGCCGAAACGCTAAGTCGAAAGAACCGTATGTGATGATACAGCGACCGTCAGACAAATTAGAGACTGCGAGAGGGGGACACAGTGAGGTCCTGGTGTCATGGATGTGGTAACTTGTGCTTCCAGTATACATGTCGGTAAGATGAGTCTTGTAGTCCCTGAAAGTTCCGTTTGCTGCAGGCTGAAAGGTTGCTGTGGCTTGAGCTTGGTGGGGTCCGTGCTCAGGTTTTAGGGCGTTTGGAAAGCCTGAATCTCAAATCCGAAGCCGAAGGTGACCAAGAGGCCGAAGTTGGGAGCCTACCAGCGATGGGCCTCCCGTCTCAGAGCCGAAGATTTCCTGGGCTGTGAACAGAATGTACGACGTTACATAAATCTTGCAACTAGTCTGAGTCCCCAAACCCTGAGCGTAAACCCTTATTATACGGCGGAAGGCCCAAACACCCTATGTATATGCCCTAGACTCCCAGACACTGATTCTAGATACATGGATGTCTCAGGTACGTGAGCTCAACGTGGCCGAAGGCGTCCTCGAGCTGCTTTTGTCATGGGTGCCCATAGAGAGATATTCTTCTGCATGAGTTATACTCGTAGAACTAGTACTACACCAAGCTTTCCTGAGAAGCCATGATGGGGTAGCATGCGTGATTGTATTCATCATGAACCTTTCGGTGCGTGCCGCAGTGCTTCAGCTTCTGCAGGGGATCCAGAGGAGCTGCTCATGCTTGATGCAGCAACCTGGCGAAGACGTGCGAAGACCACTTCCAACCATCCCGAGGACCATGGTTTATAGAAGAGCTGTAGATACCTGCAGTCGCTACTGCGAGCCACAGGGATAGAAGTGAGCTGATATCCCAGACAGTCATCATCTAGCAACGCCCTGCGCCTTCTGAATCCGACGACTTAGGTGATGCGCGTGGCAGCAGGGCTTGGGCCTGCCAGCCAGGCACCGACGGAAGGCCGTCTTCGCACCCCAGCAGAGACATATGTAAAGCAAGGGTTGTGCGAGGGCTCTCTATCTATCCATTTAACCTAACCTAATCTGACTCTGACCTAATCAAGCCTAAGTGCTGCACTTCACCCCATGTGGTATGACCTGAAACTGCGAGTGTCAAGCATATCTGCCCTTATCCATCGCTATCTGTCTATATCTGTGATTTGCGTCGTCTCGTTGCCCCAGCCCTGAAGCTGAGACCTGGTCTCGCCGTGGCAGCCGGACTTGCCAACGGCTGCTGCCCAGGTCGGTCTGAGAGCTGACCTCGTAGAGGAACCTTCAATATCTTACAGCTTTGTATTTTATCGGGTGAGGTGCAGGCGATGTTGAGGCCGACATCGAGGTCTGCCTGAGAAGTTGTGCAAGAGGGACTGCCGAGAAGCCCTCCTTTGTCGCTTCCCAGCAGCTCTGCGCTTCGTGCAGTGCAAAGAAAGCTACATGTTTATGGAGGTGAGCGGCCCCACGGCTGCAACAGCCTGAGCCTTCGGTTTCATAGACCCTCAGTCTAGGCTGAAGCTCCCACATCATCCCTTCCCCCTTTGTCGTTCTTTTTGGATACCATTGCTGGCGTGAAACCATCAACACCGAGTCTCCTTCCCGGTCCCGACAAGTCTCTCTTCAGGACCCACCGCCCAGCCCCAAGCCGAAGCCACTGGAAGCCGCAGCCTCCGTGGCGATCCTGTGGCTGCAGGGGCTCTAGGGCGTGGGATCTGGATCTCTGGAGGCTTGATGATTGTGAGGCTCGTAAGCTTAGGGGCCCCAAGTCGTTTCAGCATTCAGAGTTTTGGGGGTGGATGACGCCAACAGATCCACCTGCACAGAAAAGTTGCAGAAGGCGTGGTTTCCAGTGGGGTGACCGATCGGAAGACCAGCAGATGCACGGGTCAGGCCGCAAGAACGGTCGGATGCATCCTTCACTTACTATAGGGCTATAGGGGGCCTAAACAACTAGCAATACTGTTTTGAGGTTCCTTATATTGTACTTGTTTTGCATAATATACCCCAGACCCTGTTCTAGTTACTAGTTATGAAGGTCCCTCTCTCACGCAGGCGGTTTGACCAGTTGACTCTCTACTTGGCCTGCCTGGGACGATCCTCTTGTCCACGCCCGCCCATGGCTTTGCACATTTACGCGCCGTTTCGGGTGAAGCTCACCCATATACGTACTCTACATTGGGAAGGACGCCTAGAAGTCCCAACTTCTGCCTAGGAACAAGCTCCTCAGCCTCATCGCTTTCCGCAGCTCGGCCGCCATCCTCACTCTGTGCTAAAGATGCCCGAGTGCTGCGGGCAAGTTCACCGGGTGCAGTTTGATTGTTGTAGTTTCGAGCCAGCTTCGCAGAGCAGCATCATCTCCTATTCGTGCAGGAAGAGTCAGCGCGCTCGAAGGTGTCCAGTGGTCCAAGCTCCTGTACAGAACTCCAAGCAGATGCTGCGCAGAGGTGCAGCTCGTAGGCCCCTGAGACTGATTTTCCTGGCCTCTGCGTTTGGTCTCCTTTTTCGAGCTTTCACCGCATGGCAAGATGACTCAACCTTCGTAGGATCGCCTGCCGGGCCGCCCGGGCCTCGGACTCGGCCTGATCGTATTCCCAGCCTGGGCCGGGGAGCTTCGGAACCCTTGGAGGGCTTCGAACCCGCCTGGGAAGAGGAGGAGACTCTCTGGAAAGTTGTGACGGCCTTTAATGCCGCCTGCTGGGGTGCCGCCTACATCAGCACCAAGTCCGGCATCGATACGCTCGTCGCTGCTGGCGTGGAGGATGCTCCCATCGTGTATGGCGCCCTCCGCTTCGGCTTGGCGACTTTGCCGCTCCTGCCCTGGGTGCTCCGGTCCAGCACCGCAGAAAGTGCACGGACTTCGGCCATCGTTGGCAGCCTGAACGGCTTCGCATATGCTGCCATCTTCACTGCCTACTCTTTGGGCACAACTGGTGGCAAGGCAGCCTTCATCTGTTCACTGCAAACGATTGTCGTCGCTGCCTGCACCTCGCTAGCTGCCCAGCGTCTCCAATTGGGCACCGTAGTCTCTGCTGTGATGGCGGTGGTTGGAGTGGGCTTCCTTGAGCTTGCCGGAGGCCCCATGGAGACTTCGTCGGGTGCTTCTGCGAAACTTCGGCATCGATTTTGCAGATAAATCGAAGGTCTCACTTCCTGAACATTAAGTCTAAGATGAATTCTGCCAGTATGCTAAAGGTCACCTCCTGCGTCAAAGCTGGCTGACCAAATACCGGGGTGGTGGTAAGTAGGGGCAGATGTTACTTTCGTGTAATTCTCGGTAGATGAGCAATCCCGAGGCGATTTGGTGTGTGCAGCTGCGCCAGTCGCGATAGGAATTGGGTGGTACATGTTGGGAGATACGATGAAGAAGTACCCAGACGACACCTTGCCATCCCTTGCGATCCAGTTCGTATGTTTTACGGTGCTTTTCGTCACCTGGATCCTGGGGGACATTGGCTGGAAACACGGGCCGTCTGGTATAGCGGATTGGCTGGGTCAGGTGCCAGCAATTCTGCAGACTCCGGGCGCCAAGTCCGAATTCAGTCGGTTTGGGGCGCATTGGATAGAGCGAGGGGATGTGTGGGGACGTCTAGGGTTCCCTGCAGCGGTTTGCTCGGGGTGCCTTGAACCTGTCTACTGTTGCTACCTGCCTAGATGCTCGGATTGGGAGATAGTGAGCTATGTTGGATCCACGTTCAAGAGTCTCAAAAGTGTGCTAAAGGGGTGTTTGAAAGTCCGTACATGCGTTCGCTCTTGAAGGTTTCTGGCCAAATCCTGAAGCCTGGACCTGAATTTCAGGCGTGAGTGCACTCCTAGGTCTTTGGCCCCCCCTTCTCTTCTCGACGTTCCTGGGCAATGTCATCACGATGCTGCTGGCCAACAGGGCAGTGCAGATCATCAAAGTCTCAGAGGCCGGCACTGCACACTGCGGGAAGCTGTGGGGGGGCCTTGACAGAGATGGGTTATGGTGGACTCTCTCTCCGATTCAGGTCTCATTGATATCAGCTTCTGCTGCCGCCTCAGTGCTAAGCGCATCGTACAAGTCAGATGAGTACCAAACATGACATGACAAGCTGCCATGGTAGGAACCTCTGTGGGCTGCGCTCGCAGCGATGCTGTATCTGGGGGAGGTGTTCACACTAGCCGACTGCATCGGTGGCGGTTTCATCCTCACGGCGCTTGTTTGCAACGAGCGACTTGGCCAACGAAGAGTTCCTTTGTCCTAAGTCCCAGCTGAGCGCGCGAGATGGTACCATTCCCAGCAACTAGAGGAACAGATCGCCCACGAGAAGGGGTAAACGACGTCCCAGGATTGAGAGAAGTTAGTTAAAGGCCAAGATCCGGCCAGAAGGGGCTGACAATTAGGACTCAGACTAGCCGGAAACATCCTTGACCCATGATCCGCAGAGATCCCCTATCGAAGCACATAGAACCCTTGTTGAGGTTGAGCCTTTATCCATTTTATCTTACCTTATAGTATAGACTCCGAACGATTTCTATAATGTCCCATGCAGGCTTTGGGAAGAAGGCGATGCAGAGCCCAAGAGTACGGCGATTTTGCCTGAGGCCAAGCAAGGCGGTTGCCCCAGATTCTCTCGCTAACTTTTGAGCATCTGATCTGAAATCCTGAATTCTCGGCTCGTTTTTGCCTCAGGAAGCGAGAGGAAACAGCTAGAACTCGTGAGCTGAATACCTTTTTTTCCAATGTAGTCGTCCTTCTCCAAGAGTCGGGTGCACAAGAGAGAAGCAGCGGCAAAGCTGCGTGCTTCTCCTTCCACCATGCAAAAAGTTCGGCCGCCGGCCGCTCGGCCATCCGCTATGGCGGGTGTCCAAGACACAGCCAGCATGCTGGCAATGGAAAAAATGCGTGACCGTCGGACCATTGCCAGGGTCTGCGCTCTGAAGACGCTTCTGTGCTAAATTCAGATGTACACTGACACTTGGCAAACCGTTCAGACAAAAGGATATCAAGGATTCGGAAGATAGGCGTTGCTGAAGGTTTGCGGATGTTGTGAATCCGGATGATCGAGTGAGGTTTGCTACAAATGTTTCGCACTTGTTGCATCTCAGGCAAAAGCAAAAGCGATGCTGATGGAAGCACGTCTTTCACGCGGCTCTGTTGCGGTTGGGTAGATTTAGATATCTTGTTGCACCTCCTCCTGCACATGCCTCAGAACTTTGTCTTCAGGCTTTTCCGAGATTTCGATTCTACAGTAAAGACTTCATATGAAACGAGGGTCTGAGGCGGCTCTCGATGCCCCGACAAGCCAGATGCCACCACCGGCTGCAGTGATAGCTCCAATTCTGAAAGGGCGCCGGTTGTAGGATTTGACGATTTCTGCGTACAATGTAGTAGCTGTAATGACATTACAAGAAGTGGGAACAGTGCGGATGCCAACAGTCGCAAGAATAAAGACAGTCAACGGCTAGAGGTACTGCATGTGACTGCGATTCTGCCTATAGTCTCCATTGTACTCCTGTTTGGGGATACCTTATAAAAATCCTTAATATATAATTGGTTGAACCAAAAAAAGGAACTACAATGGAGACTCTAGGTGATGACTTGAGGCCGGGAGACTGGCGAGTTCTGGCACATGAGGCGGCAGCTGACCGCCTGCCGCCAAACCGCTACGACCTGGATATTTTCATGTGCTTCCTGGCTAAAAAATCGGAGTGCGTGGCAAGAGTCATTCGTTCGGGACCGGAAAGGCTGACATGGCATCTAGAGCTGGAAGTTGTGCAGCGAGATCATCGTAACTCAGATCCGAATGCTTTGAGCCCGGCGGTTGCTTCTTTGCGGAAGCAGTCCTAAGTTCGTCAGATGGGGTGTCGCACAGGTTTGGCTCGAGACTTGACAACACAGGGCTGTTTCCCAAGCCATGCCGGTGCCGGCACAGCTTGTGGAGGAGGAGTCCGTTGCGGCTTCATCGCATTCGCCGCAGTTGGAGCACACCAATGCAAGCAGCTACAAGTTTGAGCACACCGGGGCTAGCACTCTCAAGAAGGCACATTCCTGCCTCTCTCAAGGCACGACGGCACTGACTGGATTGACCCCCACAAACCACAGCGTAGCGTCAGAGTCGCACGCTCCAGTTCCGGAGCTCAATGCCACCAAGCCCGATGTTGAGAATGCCTTGCCCTGTGGCGAAGCGGTCAGCATCTGGACGCGGTCGACCATTGGGATTGTGTTGAATGGGTTCCTTCTTGCCTTCTTGAGTGCCATCTGCCGTGGTGTTATCTATGGCTTCTTCCTGGGCTACATGGGCTTAGACTCCTATGTCCTGTCATCTATTGCGGCACTCATGAAACTTCCGGATGTCTTTCCCCTAGCTTATGGGATTCTCACCGACTGCTTTCCCATCCGTGGGCAGAAGAGGAAGCCTTGGCTCTTGATTTCTTGGGCCATCTCAGCCGGTGCACTCCTTGCCATGAGCCTGAAGCCCCAACCCGGCCCCTTGCACTGCTTCGAGAACGGGGAGTACAACTGGTTTGTGCCCCCTTGCAACCCTGGGATTCTGAAAGAGAAGAATTGGTACGTTTTCCCCATGTTCATCTTGACAGCCGGTCTCCAGCTGGGGGCTGTCTCGGGCGAGGCCCTGCTTTTGGAGTACTCACAGCTTGAGCCGCTGGAGCGTCGCGGGCAGATCAAGGCGGAGATGACCGTGGTGTGCACGGCAGGGGCCCTGGCTTCCTCTCTGTTTATTGGCATCTTCATGAACGGCAAGGAATACTTGGGTACCTTCGACTGGGGCTTGTCCTTCAGTGGTCTGATGGCCGTTTGCTTGGTCCTTGTCATCTTGATCATCCCGGTGACGGTCATGTGTGTATATGAGCCTCCAAAATCAGGGCAACGCACATCGTGCCGCGCTCATGTAAAGTCTTCTTGGGAGCTCGTTCAGGGGAAAGCACTCTCGAGCATTCTTTTCTTCGCATTCTTTGTCCAGTTTTTGTTCTCCATGACGACGACCGCCGGACCAATGGTCCGGAGCCAATGGGCGCAGGTGAAAGTTCTGCAGCAGCAGATGTTTGGCATGGCTGGTCTGTGCATCATGATGGCGTCCACCTGGATCTACAGAGTGTATTTTCTTCAGGCAAGCTGGAGAAAAGCCATCGTTGCAGCGATCTTCGCAGTGAACGTGCTCGATGCCATCCCGCAATTCCTCACGACTTTTGACTTGGTGCGGAACCAGTACTGCTACCTGGGCGAAGACGTCGTGAGCTCTATTCCCAACGCCGTCTTGCAACTCGTCTCGAACTTGATGATCATCGAGCTCGCCGAGCCGGGCCGGGAGGGTCTCTCCTTCGGCTTGATCGGAACCTTGCAGCATTCCGCTATGCCCTTTGCCACGGCGATCAGCAATCAGGTCTACGGGCTTTTCGACCCGAAGCTCTCGAACATTGAGAACTATATCCTGGACACTCCCCAGTTTCGCTCGACCGTCGCCTGGTCCTATGTGCTGAGCTACGCCGAGTCGTTCCTTGCCTTGGCTTTGCTTCCGATGATTCCATGGCAAAAAGCCGAGGCTCATAGGCGGAAGAGAGAGTGGAGCTCCAACTCCGTCATGGCAGCCATTGTCCTTGTGATCCCGGCCCTCTGCTTGACCTACGGAATCATTGTCTTACTGCTGACAAGCCAGCCTGAGACAGCTTGCCTTCGTTGGGTCGGAGGCCAGGGCTGCGAGACTCCAAGCTGAACATCACAAGGAAGCTCAAGGAGCTTCCACGAAAGTTTCTAGCCTCTTTGAAATCCTGTGCGCCTCTCCTTGATGCCACGGCTGCGGCCAGAGCAGAGATTCATATTTAGGACGGAGGGAAGCTAGTCCCCGAGACACCCTGTGTCCTAGGTCCTAGGTGCTGAAAATAGACAATCCAAGTTCCACCTGAAGAAATCCCAAGCCCCCAATCCTCAACAAGATGAGGCCAAAGTGAATTTGACTCCGGTGCCCTCGGTTGGAGACCAGGGCTTCACCGGCGCAGCGCATGAAGGAGATCCAGTTCGGATTCACGGAGGTCTTACGTACTGTATGGTGGGATAGCACAGACGTAAAGTCAAAAGCTGAAATCCCGCAACTGGAAATTTTGTTCCGGGCCTTCGCCAGCTCCTGCTGGCTTTAAGAAGTACTCCCGGGGAGCTTAGCTGTGAACGGTCACATGCCAGGGCTATCTTCACCAGGAAGCTGGCTCCGAGCATCCGATCGAAGTGCACCTCGAAGACGAATGATGAATCATCGGAAGTAGTTTAGGGTTTAGGGTTTAGGAAAGTTTAGGGTGCAGATCCTTGAGCTCATCATGTGCAAGAGCCACATCTTAGAGCCAAGTGCTCTGCGCCCCTTCAGGGAGCTCCCAGTTGAAAGAATCCGTGGGCCGTTTCCACAAGCCTGCTTTGCTGGGCTAGCAGAATTTTCTTATCTTCCTCTGCAATGCGCCCTGGATATCTTTGGCAACGTTTCCGAGCCAGCGCATCCGGAAGGAAACTCCCGAGTTCAGGGTCCAAGGGATCTTTCCCGCATCACGACTTCGCATTCGCAGATCGCGGTGTTTTGCTTCAGAATGTTAGTCTTATAGTCGACTTTCCGTTCATTTCTGGTGGCCCGCGGCTTACCGGGCCTTTGTACTGCATCTGCATCTTCGGGGCGTTTTCTGCGGACCCTGATCTCTAGAAGTTCTGGACCCCGATTCCTGGCCGCTGCGCTCAATCGTATGGTCACCTCTCCGTCGTTCGAGCTGGGGTTGTCCTGAAATCGTTGAGCATGTGCCATGCCATGCTAATTGCACTCGTCCAGCGCCATTAATCGTGGTGGGTTAGGACATAGTCATACCACCCTTGAGCTGTTGTGGTCTAGCGAAGGTTCGCCCACCGTGCTGCAGCTAACGATCCGGCCCCCACGGGCCACGCAGCATCACGAGCTGCCAGGACTTCGGCGTCAGATCTATGAAGTCTGTGTGTGACGTCCCTTTGTCTGTATGTGTGTCGCAGCGTAGTGGGGTTTACCACGCTGGGCCACGGAAGCCTGCCAAAGAAAGCTTACATTCTCCTACATCAGCCCTAAATCTAATTCTTCTGGACTAGAGTGCGTTCCAGATTTTCACAGGAGTGCCCGGGGCCTTCGTTCTGTCCGATGTCCTCTCCGTTCAGGACATCACCGAAAACGGGTCCGAAGTGCAAGCATCTAAGTCAGGGATTTGAGCGCCTAGACTTCTTGTGTGGCACATCTGTGTTCCCCGGCTGCGACAGCGTATTTACTCTGCCACAGCACCCCTTCTCAAGGAGTGCCATATGCTCCGCCAGGCGACCGAAGCCATGGGAATCTTGGCCGAGTCAGGTGCCTGAACTTCCGAATCCCTCAACGGTTGGGCATGTGGAGACGTCAACGAGTGCGCCCCTAGCATGTGGATGATTCCACCCCTGGGCCAAGGATACAGGCCGGACGTGCCTTTGTCCTCCGAACTGGATGAGCGGGCACACAACGTCGTTCTCATGGCCAACGAGCCCTGTCGATACAAGAGGTTCAAATGGACCAGGAAGTTTCCTCGGGCCGGTGGGCTAAATAGACAGCTAGCTTCCCTTGTGGACTCGCGTGAACCTGCAGAGTGCTCAGGACTTTCAGAATACCTCTTTGCCCCTCGGCTTGTGAAGACTTGCGTTCATCCGCTTCAGGATCAATGAGTGCTCCAGCGGCGGTCGCCAAAGGAAACCATCAGTGGAATCTAGTAGCAAAAGGTTGTTTGTGCGGGTGTATGAGGACAGTAGTGCATGCTCGGCAAGTGGGTGAACAACTACAGCAAGCAACAGGGATGCAGAGGTTTCCATTAAAACCGCCGGGTGGCAGCACCAACATGCCTCAGCTTCAAGCGGTTACTGAATAGGTCCCAGTATGTCGCCTAAAGCTGAACCTCCTAGCAGTTACCCCTGCAACTGTGACATGTTAGTTCTTCTAACACTCAGCGGAACCATCGCCAGCACCGTGAGCTATTGCAGTGGCACAGTCACGCAAGAATGTCTAGTGGAGTCTAGCCTTTGAAGTTTGAAGACAATCATGCCAGCTTCGCAGGACGAAAAAGCGATCACCTGAATACCAGAATGCATTTTGGATCTCAAGAGTCCCCAAACCTCTCACGACCCAGGTTCGAGCGGGTGAAGCATCTGCTGCCAAGCAAGCTGGGCCAAGAGAAGCCAGAAAGCTGAATATAGGGGCCTGACTGATTGGGAATAGTGTCCTCAGATAGTCATACTCTAGCATGCCCAACAGCGGTGGGCTAACTATCAAGGCTTCTCCTTTGAACCAGGCTTCAGGGTGGCGAATCTGGGCCGTCTAGGATGCATTGTACTCAGTCTCGAAGCGCAAGGAGAGCTTTCTGTTGCTGGAGCCGTGGGGGCTTTAGGTTTACAGACATAGGTTCGACTCTGCTTCCTCTTCGTTCCATTCTGCATCTATGGGGCTCGTAGCTACATTGTGGCTAATCATGCAGCTCTTACTCTACAGCCTGCCCAAAAGTTACAGCTATCTCCACACAGCCGAGAAGTGCAGAGGATGACGGGAGCGAGGGCACTTGGCGGTTGAACCGCACAGCACATTCGGCTGGCCTGAGGCTGTTGGGCATCAACCGCAGGTGGCGATTTTACCGGTACCTGTCTGGCAATCTGCATCCTTGCTGCACTGAGGATGTGGCATACTATGGTTCTCGCAGTTTCACAAAGCTGTTTTCTTCTTTTTCGTGGATCGCGATGGGCTCCAGAATTGCTGCCCACAGCAAGCCATACGGCACCCCGTGCGCAACCATTTGTTTCGTGCGACAAGGCTTCACCTGTCGCCGCAGCAAGCTGTTAGCCCGAAGGCAGAGCAATCAATGACGTATAAATTAATAAATACATATATATATATATATGTATACTCTGCTTATGTTTCTGTTTGAATTCATATTTATGTGTTTGTTCATAATGGAAGATGCTTCAATAACTAATACTTCAGCACCAATTTGCTACACGTTGCAAGACATGAAGCCTGCCTCATTTTATACGACACGTTAGACCGCGTGGTGATGCGCCTGAAAATACTTTGTTTCACTAGGAGACGACATCCCACAATATCCCAAGTAATATACGGGCCTTAATAATTAGAATAGGGCTTCGGGGCCTACTATACTATATCTATAATATGGAAATCCGCCGGAAAAGTATAGGTAATTATTTAGGCCCCTATAGTATCCGAACCAGGTACCGGAAGCACCTGGACGGCGCTTGGCCTGCAAGCGGGCTTAAGCGTGGTGAGGACGGCCAGGACGAGTATGCCGCTTTTCCGAACTGCCAATGGGAAGCACGAAGCAGAGACTATAAGCACCCTGTCACGTGGGAGTAGTTCTGCAAGTTTGGGGAGCTTGCTGGATATGCTCTGTGCAACATACTTCATACCGCATGCGACCCGCTTGTTCTAGAGGAATACACGCGGTCAGAGCAGTGTCCTGGAACATGTTCTTATTGCTTCACGAACGGATACTGTATGATGCTCTCCGGCTGCGACGAGTTGCTCGTTGCCGGGGTCATGCGAAGCTGTTTCGTTGCACGGGGATTTCGAGTTGGTGCCATCGAAGTATATAGGTATGTAGAAGCCAGCCAGTCTCTTGCCGTTCATGATGGGAAGTTGTGTTCTCGGCGTCACGAGTGGTCGCTCATAACAGTCAGGCGGCCTGGCCAGGGCGTGTCAAAGCTTTCAAGGTCCCGCGCTCCTGCGGCGCGATCTCAATTTCGCGGGCTCTAGAGGTGCAGCAAACAACCTGCCCTTCGCACCGCGCAGCCTCTCCCTTGTCACATTTCAGGTGTACGACGCCTATGGCGGCGGCACCAGATCCAAACTGACGTCGCCTGGTTCCTTAGATTGTCTCTCGGGTCACCGCTCAAGCGTATCTAGACAGATAGGGTAGTCCTATAGGTCCTCGTTGAACCAAAAATGTATTGCTGGAGATGGATAGATCGATAGATAGGTTGATATATACATATAAACAGACATACTGACATACTGGCTTCTTTGGGTTCAGGTCTGTGCCTTAGTGTTTGGAACACAGGTTAGGTTGGCGGTCGGATGACAGTCGGAGTCCAGTGAAGAGGCGCGATAGAAAAACTGGAGGGCAGGCTGGCTTCAACGTGTTCGTTGAATTTCCAAATTTTTTGGAGCGCAAGGTAGATTGATGCATGCATCATCTGTTTTGAAGGCAGCTGCAGATACAAGCAGGCAGAAACGGAGAGATGGGCATGTAGATACAGCATGTCTTCGTGGTCTCTAATCCAATCTTGGTAGATGTTCTACATGGGCCCATCAAGGTTCATCATTTACCTGAACGACGACTTCGAGGGCGGCTGCACCACCTTCTACACGCCTAACCCAGGCCCAAGCCAGTGGCTCATATGCAGGGAATTCCGAATTGGTTCAGCTGGGAAGATTCCTATTGAATCCATTTCAGTACACGGAAAAACTAATGTTTTGTAAAGCTTCGGTGTGCATTTTTCCGTCTTCGGACGCTTGTATGTAGCTTGGTGCCTGGAGGGCGACTTCCGTAACTTGTCTGCCGTTGCTCTTTCTCCTGGCGACGTCTCTACGTGACCAGAACTGCAGTCACGCCTGCTTCCCCTTCGAGACTTCGAACCATGCTTCTTCGCCGAGTCCAACCATTTCTGTCGTTTGCAACAGTGCATTTCCTCGTTTGCTTAGTAGCCAGTACAATTTCAAAATGTAGGGTAGCCACATCTACAACTGCCAACAACATGGTTAGAGCAGACGGTAAACCATATATGTAATGGTTATCAGCAGCGCCACCCCCAAGACTCTTAATATTGTTTCTTCCCTGCAGTCACAGTGTAAATGTCTGCCACTATCTGAATGCGATGTGACGACACAATGTCAGTCATGAAGTTGATTCGTGTAGTTGATATGCTTCGTCCCGTGCCCGCCCCGTGCCATCCTGCAGGTGAGGAGGGTGTGCTGGACTCGAGACCTGTGAAGCCCCGCATCGGATCTGCGACAGTGTCTCAGCGTATCGAGAGCAGGAGTCTGCGATCTTGTGTGAAGTTGAGCTACGCGCGAGGTGCCTGAAACTAGCCATGAATTGAATTCGCAAGAGTTGCCATGTGCCTAGCAAGTTGAGTTTAACTCGCCCCTGACATGCCTTGTGCTGGCTCGTCCCAAACCTGCACCCAAGTTGGCTGTCGTCAAAGCAACCGACCCGAAGATCCTGATTCCCTACAGTTGTCTGCGATTGACGTATGGTTTAGGGATCAGGGAGTACAAGACCCGGAACTTCGACAGCGGAGGGACAGATTAAAACCAATGTGTGGCTCCTTGCAGTTGACACTTGAGGTCTTCCCTCATGGGGACTGTGGCACACCGTTACTGCACGAAGGCCTCCGGGCCAGGGTTTCACGTAGGTAAAAATGGCACTCGAATCGCAGAATCAATGGAGATTGGGTAACGAAACTCTTGAAGGCAATGGGAAGTGAGGAGGATTGCGGTAGGCGATGTTCTTCGTTGCATCTCTCCATGCGAGAGTGGGGCTTCGCCTGAGCCCCTTGATTGGGACTTCTTGTATGGTCATGTGGATGATGACACCACTGGTAAGAGTAGCTTGTGTAGTGGTTCAGTCGTATGCTCGCGGAGATGGGCTACACTGATTCTTCCACTTAGCGCGATTCTCGGTGGCTGTAGGTCGCCTTGGAACTTAGTGTGGGGTTGTTGCACCCGTCTTCAGCCCCATTTCCGGTACTCGACATGTTCAGTCCTTCTCCGTGTAGCCAGCACACTGCACAGGGACCGCACCGGATTCTTCAAGCTGTTGCAACAAGGTGCTTAAAACAACAACATCAACCTCGCGCTTACGTAACAACATCCAGCCAGAGAGCCTCACCGCGAACGGTATGTATCTCTCAGAGTGCATCACAACTAGACTGCAGCCGTCGATGCTTGAAACGAGGTTTCTATCATGGTCAGCCACGGCCCGTTTTACCCGGGTTCTTTCAGAGGTCTCTCTGGAAATAGGGCTCTGAATCAAAGCAGCCCCCCCAAATCTTGTGATCGCAGGTTCTGCTGTGACTTCCGGCACCAAGAGCCTCGACATGGGATTTCCGAGTTTGGGGGTTTCAGGGAATTCGGTGTTTCGATGGGACGATTACGGGGGGCTAAGGCTGGAGAGCCTTTCAGCCTTCTCTCTCTCTCTCTGTCTCTTTCTACCTGCACCTAGAGTCGGGCGACCTGGCTGCCAGAAAGATTCCACAGGCTGTTGCGTGAGCCATCCAGCCAACCAGCCAGCCAGCCAGCCCAGCCAGCTTCTGCATTACAGTTTTTGGGCCGTGAGCGATATGCCCTTATTCGAGGTACTTGTTGCGGACTGACGTCGTCTACGCACGCCCGGCAGCTTGGCCAGGGGAACAGTAGAAAGCAAAGAGAAGAATGGTTGAGCCTTGAAGCCTGAAGCGCTCAGAGCTGTCATCGAAGCGTCTCTTTCATGTCAATGTGCTCGTATCCTCAACAACCGCGTTTTTTCTATCTGAGTAGAAGAGCGAGTACTAGTGCTTCTTCAGTTATGCTTGTCTTCGCTCCGACGGCGACTTTAACGAAAAGCTCTGATAATGTCATGTAATCTCATGCCGGGATGAGTGTCAGCGCGAAACAGGGACGAGGTCCGAAGTGCTCGGTATACGCGATGCGCTTCCAACACCAATATTTCATTCAAGGCATCACGAGGGACACGCCGACAACCTGTACACCTACTTAGAAGGAAGGATTGAGGCTGCTACACAGGCTGACCAGAAGCTTAAGAGACTACACGCGTTCACATTTGGACTTCGGTAGTCTCCATCTGCAGGGTATACAGCCGGACACTCAACCCAGGGACGGTTAGTGCTGCACCTGACCAACAAAAGGCACTCGACGCAAAGCCCAATCTCTTGATAGCAGCAGCACCCGACAAGCCTTACAGTCCACATCCACGTGTTTTAGGTTTGTAGAGTTTCTATTAAACCTGGATCCGAGCCTTGTATCTTGGAAAGGTTACATTGCCTGGATACAATCTTTTTCAAAACAGCCACCGACATGCTGCCGGCGATCATTCGTAAATATGAGCACAAGATGTCGCTCTTATGACTCTAATGCCTCATCCTCACCACGGTTTAGGGTTTACCCATAGGCCCCATGTAGTAGGTCCTTTTTGGGATTACCTTACATAGGATTCTAAATATGAACTACTTTGGGGCCTATGGGTATAGGTTTGTACTGCAAACCCTAACCCCCAGGTACCTACTATATAGGGCCCTAGGGGCCCTAGTACCCTATATAGTAGGTACCTGGGGGGTTAGGGAAAGAGAAGACAGACCCTAAACCCTAAACCCTAAACTGAGAAGACAGGAGACACCGGAGGAGTTGAAGCGCGCGGCCCGGCTGCGAGGCTTGGCTCGGCAGTTTCCTGGTCGCATCTTACGCCTGGGCCGGAGGTCTATGATTGCATACTACCTATTGTCTCCATTGTAGTTTCTTTTTGGGATTACCTTATAGGATCCTAATTATATATTTGGTTGAACCAAAAAAAGGAACTACAGGAGACTATAGGTAGGTCCCTCAGTAGTCACCACCTTGCCCTTGGTACTTACAGGTTCATGGGACGTAGTAATTCGGGTATCTTTGGCCCTTTTACATTTTGTGGTCTCCTTGTCCAGACCGGACATTAGGAAAAGGGTTGTAGAGGGTATTCTGACTTTTAAAGAGCACCGGCTAATCATGTACGTAATGTACGAAAGCAGCATGAAGCGTGGGGGTCTGGAAATGTAAAGCGCATTCGAACATTCCTTGGAGGTCAGGGCCTGGGCATCCGTAGGGATTCACGAACTAACTTGTGTGTAGTTTGCGAGTCTGGCAATTCCGCCTTTCTGCTTCGTCTTGGGGTCCGTGCGATCGGGTGGGAGCACAAATTTCGGCATTGTGAGATCTTGTAATTAGGTCTTGGCTTGCAGGGGTGGTCTCTCCTCACACGCACACACTTTCTGCAGCACGTGCATCTGTGAATCCGTGTGGTCTCGCATGACTTCTCTTCGGGCCAGTGCAAAATTTTGGGAAGTAGTGGATGCTATCCAAAGCATCCTGGGAGCCCGGACATCTCCGAACGCAGGCTGGGTGGTCTGGGTGGCCAGGGCTTGCTACAGGAGAAGGAGGTGTCGGCCTTCCTGAGGTTTTTCATGGAAATAATCCAGACTGGACAAGTTCTGGGTAGCCGGAGGATTCAGATTGCTAGGCGGGCCCACGTTCATGTTTACTCTGAGAAGCGATGATGATGGGGCGTCTCCTTGTTCCATGCATCGAAACGTACTTCTCGAAGGTTTGTTCCATCAGTTGTTCTGGCGTACGATGACTGCAGGAGGTGCAAGAAGCTCCTCCATCGAGCCAGCCCAAGAAAGCGAAGGCCGTTGTTTGTCACCAGTTCTAGCTGGAGTCGTTTCCCCGCGGTGGTGGCATTACAGGGCTATAGACAAACTGCAATGATGAGTGGATGAGTGCACTGCACCAGCGGGGCAGCCAGCAGAAGCCTGCCAACTCTGACAGCGATGGCTGTTTGCCTACGGTGCCCTACCCTAAACCCTACTGTAAGCCGTAGCCATTCGTGCAGTGGATATTTGTGCTGACCAGCGGCTGCCCTCCCGAGCATTCTAGTGCTGCGAGATTTAGCTGCAAGAACCTGCTGAGCAAGATTTTACTGCTGTGACAGCTTTACATTTTTTCTCCTTGCATGACCTGCCACCGCGAAATACGCTGAGCAGATGCGACGCCTACGGCTACACCTAGAGTAGTCAAAGAGCCCATCAAGGACATATGTATCGTGTGTAGTAACTTGTTCAGTCTTTCGAGATAGTTGTTAGGTTCACCGTACTCAAGTCGCCTCTGACATGTGGCCTGCGCTGGGTATCCCGTCACATTGCTTTGAGCCGCTGTTCCCCTAACGTGGTTGAAGACTCGAGCTTTGACCATGCCGTATGAGGGCCGGGCTGATAGTTGTATTATCTTCAGATGCTGAGGTCTTTGACACGTCTCTTGTCTGTGTCATGGCTAAAGGATCTTTCGGTAGCTTGTGATGAGACTTGTCGCCTGAATCCGCGGTTGCTTCGCGAGTGTGCGAGTCAAAACCTTAACCCACACCCTAAGCAGTGGTGCTTGTAAAGCAGGCGAGGCTACATGCTTGCCTAGGTTTACATCGACTCGTGGCTCGAAAATAGCAATGCCCAAAGCAGAACCACCTCGAAGTGTGCAGTTTATACGACCATAGTGTTGCGAGGTGGGCAAGAAGCGCGCCAAGAAGCTTGGAGGCGGGGCAGATAAAGACGTGGATCCGGAGGATGCGAAGGGAGGGAAAGTCAACTCCAAGACCTTCAGCAAGTCCAATAATATGTGAAGGTAAGATTCACCAAATCTTTATAACAGTTTTGCAGCACGGAGCCCGTTTTCAAGATCCAGATTGCATTTCGGGGCTATGGCCCCTCAACATCAATGTTAGCTTCTAGACTCTATAGGTTTAGGCTTTGCAGTTGAACAACTATAGCCTCGTCATCAGGTAGCTAGCAAGTAGTAGCGCACTATCACTAGCCATCTTATCGTCCTCGTAGTGGTCGTAGGAGGAGCAGAGCAACGGCAATTACTTAGCACGAAGGCACGATGGTTATGCAAACGTGCCGGTCGACTGGTTTCCCTTACATCCTTGGCTGGATTCAGCTGCATCCAGGCAAGCATGCTCAGGAAGGTGCTGGCGGCCAGAAAGGCAAGGGATGGGGGTCGCCGTTGTTGTTTTGGGTTCCTCACATCTGCGAGCTTGCATCATGGTCTGAGGCATGTCCCTGACGAACAGTTCCAGTTTACGTTTAAGTGTATGTCTATAGGTTCTTTTATCTTTCCATGGGCGTGCGGTGTGGCATGGGTTGATCCAAGGGCCTGGGAAGGTGCATCAAACCATGTCAAAAATTGCAGTTTGCATTCGCGTATATGGTCGACGAACTGGAAGATGCAAACTGGCAAATTGCTCATGCTTCGGTAAATGTTGTACACCTGAGACAATGGGACCCCCATCATGGACTATCGGCAAATGCATGTAGCCGATGTCTGGGTCCGAATATCTGTACATGTGCCTGAGCCTTACTTGTGAATACGTAGCCAGGCAGAAATCAAAACAGAGAGCGACCCATCATCCATCCATGCATCCATGCATTCGTCCATCCATCCGTCCATCGATCGTTCCATCCACCATCCATCCATCCGACGATCCGACCATCCGTCCTTCCATCCATCGATCTATCTATCCATCTTTTGATCTGTCGTTCCATCTGTCCGAATCCATCCATCTGTTCGTGGCTTTCTATTTAGTTTGCCTGCTGCCCAAAGTTGTTACCGCCTGGAGCCTGGCGAGGTGCTGCAGCTGCTGCTCCGGCCCCTACCAAAGGCGTGAAGAAGAAGATCGGCAAGAAGTCGTCAGTGCAGGCTCTCAGGGGTGCAGTTTGTGAAGTCAGCACGGTGCTGAAGATGAGACTTCGCAGCGCTTCAGATCCCAGTGGTCACTGAGCCGCACCCACGGGCCGACTCATGAGTGCCAGGCCCGGGCACACGGCAAGCGGACCAAGAACAAAGCGGCAGGCAGTCAGAATGTTGCCCTAACCCCCCAGGTACCTACTATATAGGGTACTAGGGCCCCTAGGGCCCTATATAGTAGGTACCTGAGGGGTTAGGGTTGAATGTAAATTCAGTTGTTTTGCTCCCGTGCTCCTAAGGCTCCGGCCGCCGCCGTTGAGCAACAGGCAACTTCCCACGACCTGATTGGATTCAACGGTTGGAGGGTTGGGAGTGTCTTGATTGAAGCCATATAAGGAATGTCCTCCGTGCCTTGCCACATGCCGAGTTCGTCGTACGCAAATGCAGCAGTCCCCGCCAGGGAGCTGCTCCAAAATCTGTCTTGTCTCATCCAAAACCTGACAGACACCCAAAGTCCCATCAGTAGCATGAGTTTTGCTGCAGGAACTGGTTCTGCAGACATCAAGAGCGAGCTGCAAGCCAGAAAAGTTCTTGGTGCCTTCCGATCTTGTCGCGTCTAGTGTGGGACATTCTGTCATCTAGGTTCGCATGATGTAGTGCCCGCCCATACCCTAGTAACTTATAGTGGCAGTATCAGTTGTGTGCGTAGGCGTGCAAATTGACAGAAGAATCAGCTGCAGTGGCCGAAGTAATTGCAGGGAGCTGTAGCAACACACAGCTGCATAGCCTGAAAAAGTGACGTAGTCATGTCTGCAGCCAGTGATGCAGAGGGTCTCTGGAAGACACCCATATTCGAAACCCCCACGTCAAGCAAGAAAATCCCTTCGCAACCTTAAAGATCACTGGGCTTCGACGGTTCCTGACCAGAACCAGTGCGAAGTGTGGTCAGGCTTTCGGTGATCCTAATGCCCCAGACTTTCAGCCCCCACCGCTTCAGCTGGTTTTGCAACACTGCTACAAAGTCGGTAGCCTGGAGGTGCATTTGCCAGAAGATTTTTGAAGTTGTCTGAATGACAGCTGAGGGCCGAAGCACGCATCGAGGATGCGGCCAGGCGGAACACTGACAGGCCTGCGGGCAGAGAAATGAAAGCATCTACGGAACATTACCCAGCCAGCGCTGAGGACGAACAGCCTGACAGGAGGCTTAATGAGTAATTACGTGCTTTGATTCCGAGGCGGCCCTGGCCCCACCATGCGTTAGAGTAGCTGTCTTCCGTAGTATAGACATATCAAAAGACGCAAAGGCACACACCTGTGTTTGCTTTTCTCACGCCTCGCTATGTAGTTACATGGTTTGTCTTAAGCATGTATACACATACACACCCGAGCACACACAGGCACACAGACACACTTTCCGACACAAAGCCTTGTGGTAGCACCTGCACACGGGAAGGTGCCTGCATGCCAAGTGTGTCCTTTCTGCAGGCAAGGCGGAAGAGTTCGTGAGCTGGAGGACCGGAGGTTCAACTTCCGGCATTGCCAGTTAATACAATAAGGATGCACCAATGCTTGGCATACGGTTGAGGAGATAAATCCTGCATTACCCATAACAAGAAATGCACCATAATTCCCAGAGCTTAGGGTCCAAAAGGTACGCAGGATTTATATTATCAACAGTACGACGAGCCAGACGAGGACTAAAGCCTTGAGACTCAAAAAGTCCGTCTGAAACCGATAAGAACACCAAGGCGACAGAATCATACTCGGAACCTTTACAATGCTTCAGAGAGCCATCAGGGCAGATACTGATGGTCATGTATAGTGGTGGTGATGTTCAGATTGATGCTGGTGATGCAAGTTTAACTAACTGTTACACGGAATGAGCCGCATAGGTTGTCTCCGACTCGACCGTTCGTTGCCACTGAAGAATTGCACTTTCATTGAGTGTCCCTTGTGAAAAATTGAGTCCACCTTGAAAAAGTGCAGCTTCCGAACATCACCATACTGACAATGATAGCTTAATCTACACCAAAACCCTATTCTCATTATCAAGGCCTGTATAGCGAACCTGCAAACTTGCTTCTTCAAGGACGCGCTGTCCTCCGCAACCCGGCATGAAGAGCAGACTGCAAGATGCGTTAAACTATATAACGGTTTGAGTCAGTTACCGGTCTTGTCTGGCTCAGGGTTTTCAGCAAGTGCGATCAATTCAACTTTTGGTTGGATATCTGCTGGGATTGCAGTACACATCGTCGCTCGTCACGCGTTCATTTTATAGAGAACAGTTGATGGTGCATTTCATAGGCCAGGCTCCCAATGTGAAACCCAGGCATGAACACCGTGGACACCCCCTTTGTGTTTCCTGAACTAGAAGCTGAGAGCCAAGCCCATTCTCACTAATGACGGCAGATCTCAGCTGGCCTTGGTGTTACAGCAAGTAGTTGGGCCCTTTGTGTTGCGAGAGTGTTGGGATACCCACATACCCAAGCCTGCAGATCTGCGGCCGCGTGAAGCCCAACGAAGTATAGCACACGTATAGAATCAGCAAACATGCGTCGTGCAGAAATAATCGAATTACTGTATGTATGTATGTATGTATGTATGTATGTATGTATGTATGTATGTATGTATATATATAATATATATAGTATGTATATATACAGAGTGTTACAAGGACGAGACGTGCTGTGCACGTTCCTAAAGAGGAAGCCATGGACGTATGTGACGGATGTACAGACATATGATTCATATGATTATGTGCCTAGTGCAAATATGTATGTATGTACTTTTGCGTGCGTGCATGCGTTCGTGCGTGCACGTGTCCTAGATGCATACGTGTACGCGGACATAAACACACACACACACAGAGATACACACACACACATGTACAATATGAAAGTCTACTGAGAGGTCCTAGCGGAGCTTATATTCTGGAATGAGAGAAATCTTTGCTGGTATATGAAGCAAGGCCAATGTGGCACGGGCTGCCTGCGAACAAAAGCTGGCAGAGGAGAAACTCAACCGTCGCTTGCACGTCGGTTCTTGAAACATTCACGGCGCTTCCAGTTCACCAGCCACACTCGTGCCTCGTTGATATGCTTCATAAGTAGGAAGACTATTAATATGCAACGTGGTTACACACTGAATTAAGCATGCCAATGCAATTGTGAACGTTTGGATTCGTTCTGCCGACCCGAGAGCGGTCAGGAGCGTGTGGCTTTGACCGAGCTCCGTCGCTGGCTGAGGAATGAACCGGAATGTCACTTGGAGTGCTGTCGCCTTCAGACCGGATTGATGCTCCAAGACTTCGTCTGAAGAACCTCCGCGGCATTCCCCCGGGGTTTTTTACATGAACCGCCCAGGTCAGGACATGCAGATGCTTCAAACTTTGGAACCTCTGACCTGTTTGGACCAGATGAATTCTGCTTCATTTTTCTTCAGTTTTCGAGCCTGGAAAGATTCCTGCAAAGCAGGTCGAGGGCTTGCCACATGACCTTACCAGCACGAAAGAGCAGGCCATCACAAGGGAGTCAGATTTCCTTGGCCTTGGTGGGTGCACTGATGTTCGCATTCAAGGGCTCTCGCCGAGACTCGCTTGACATCCACACGTATGCGCACCCCGGAATATTGGCATGATGTTCCCTAAACCCTAAAACCTTGCGCGTGCTTGTCAGACACGGAGTCTCCAAAGGCCAGGTTCCATCATATCTGCCCTGACGGCGCCGTGAAAGCTGACTTGACTAAAGCCCCTGAGCGATTTTGAAGCCCTCTTCTTATTTTACAAAGATGGGCTTGGTCTGCAAAGACTCCACAGGAAGGGGATGGCTTGCATGAGACAGATGATGTCACAGCCTGAATAAGATCAAGCCGAGCTGCTTCTCAATGTTCCACCTACAGTACCTGATCGTGTGTAAAAAACAGCCCTGGCCTTGGGAAAGGATTGGTAATTGCTCTCTGAGGCTGCATCGTTACGGATTGGAGGCTTCTCCTAAACCCCGATACATGCGAAGCCTGCACGGCGTTCGTGGCTTCTTACATGGATCCCACTTGTATTCTGCAAGCGGGCCTGCGCTCTGTTTTGGAGGATGGCACCGCCGCGGGGAGGTATCTGCCTAAGGAGCCTTTTTCTTCAAGAAAGGCATGTGCAGGTTGTGATGTTCTGAGCCCTGTAACTGTAGCCTTCGGCCTGGGCGAGCCTCTGGAGAGAAGACTCTTGTGACTTCGGAAGCTGAATCCCAGGTCGGACTTGGAAAGGCTCCACCGCGAGCTTCGAACGATGAAGGAGGACCCGCATGACAAATAACACATGTTGCCTAGGGCTGAGATTGCCGAGATGCTTCCATCATCCGTGCCTCGGAGGCATGCCGCGACCAACACCAGGGGTGTTTTGGGTGGCGGGCTCTCGTCGTGTTCATCCTTCTCACCCGCATTGATATCTGGTCACCGGTGTGCCAGATTTCTTGCTGCTGTAGATCATGACCAGGGAGAGTGCTACGAATCATGAAGTTCTGTTATCTTCTGTATGACCACAGCTGTCCGAAGGTGGTTCTGAGTGAGTTTTGTAGCAGGCATCCGCATAAACATAAAACTTTCACTGTCGTCCTGGAACCACTGCGAAAACAAACCGCTACTCCAGTTCTGTAGCTGCGTCTAACCACCGTCATTTCGTCTTCAAAGTGCCAGCAGCGAGAATACCATAATTGGGAAGACTAGTCGCAGGTAGTAGTGCTGGTGACGACAGTTCTGATGGTAAGAATGGCATGCCGGGAAAACTTGAGTTGCGAGTTGGATACAGTTTTCGACCACGGCAGGACATGCCGCTTTCCTATAGTGAGAACGGGAACCAAGGTAGCACCCTCGGCAGAGGGCTTAGATCCAAGAGCCACAGTTAAGGGTTTCGTGACAGCATGACTGCAAAGGCCGTCTTGGCGTGACGCTGCAAGCCAGTTGCAAAGGAGTTTAGATTTTTCTTTCTATTTGACACATATAGTATAGCGGTACTAGAGTTCTTGTCTTGCCTCAAGAGAAATCTGGTCCATGAAGCATGCTTCGACGACCCGCCTGGTGTTCTGGCCGGGGTTAGGGTTTACATAGGATCATAGGAGGGTGCTTGGCCGTCGTCAGGACCTTGGTGCGCTGCGCTCCAGGGCGCAAACCAAGGCCTTGAAGGGTCACACTTTTTCTGGTTGCAGAGTTTGAGATTGAAGGTTCAAGCCTCGATATTGGTCCCAAGATCAAAAGTTTTAACTTTTTTTAGGGTTGTGGGACTTAGCAATGGTGACTAGCCTAGATAGTTGTGAGAACTGGAGGTTGTAAGTCTTGGGATTTGGTCTTGCCTCGTGGGTAGATGTTCGGAAAGGTAAGGCCGGAGAGCCTTTCAATTCAATGGAAGCATCCAAAACAAATCACTGGCAATCAAGTATGGCTCCTTGTTAGTTCTGTTCCATATGTGTATAATCTAGACCCACACATCATCCCGCAGTTCATGGAAGCATGGACGACTTAACTGAGACCCTGTGCTTCGTCAGATACGGACTGTTCCTCTTTTGTGTGGCCCCCGAACCGCTGAAGCATTCGCGAACATCTACGAGTTGCGATAGTCTCGAGTCCAACCCAAAAAGCATCAAGCCATATCAACCCTAAACCCTAAGCGTGGACACTTCTTGCCGTGCATGCTTTGCGAGCGTGTGAGTCGAAACCCCAAATCAAACGGTGAAGTGACCGCAACCAGACTTGCACCACCCTCCCTTTGTGCTGCCGGCCCCAAGCAAAGGAGGCCCTCTTGGACCAGGTAGGGGCCGAGCTGGAAGAGAAGCTCGGAAAGACATGGGGTGAGTGGCCGTGGAGGAATTCAATTACGTGTAACGTAAAGGGGCTCCAAGTTCGTAGCGTTAACATTTTGTGAGAAACATGGCCGTTCAAGTCAACATCCACACCTTGGCAGTCATATGGTTTTCCAAGCAGCCTATCAATCAAGTGGAGCATGTCACACTTAAGTCAAGGTTACCGCTAAGCCGTGTAGACTACGAGTTCCTAAGCCGTGTAGACTACGAGTTCGGATTATGAGCTCGTCAGCATATGCTGGAGCCTCATCCGAGGACGGTCCAGCGGCTTTCTCAAGTTTCCAACGAGAAGGCTGCCGAGTGCAATGCTTCGGGTGAGGCCATTTGTGCCCTGCCCATGTCTTTGCAAGTCCGCCGACGTGTTGAAGTACGATCGGGTAGCCGAGAAGTCATCACTGGTCTGTCATTTTGACGACCATGATGTTCTTGTGCCATCACACCATTGCCGGAAGATGCTTGTCAAAAACCTTTCTACTGTGGCTTCTGCGGTGTTCGCCACGACGAGAAGCACAATCTGCATTGTCATGGTCAGCACCAACGACGCCCACGACTAATGCTTTACTGACTATTCGTGTTATCCTCTTCCGATAGGTGAGGCTAGCCTCTGAAAGCTTCCTGCCAGGCCAAATTACAGTTCGAGGTCGCGGATCAAGGTGATCCTGGCCTGCTATTGTGCGTGGCAGCGCCGTGCTTCTTTGCCGTTCTCAACTTCCTTGCTGTGTAGGGTCAGGCATCTGCAACCTGAAGACAGAAACTCTGCTATTCGGTTCAGGGCTCCGAGACCCCAATACAGGCAGATTCTATACTCTATACACCGTCAATGCCGATGGCAAGGCCACCCGTAAGGTTGCGGACCCCCAAACTCTGACCATTCAGCTCGAGGCCTTAGAAGCTGACCCTTCAGTTGCTAGTGCTCTGCACAACTGTAGGAAGAATAAGAAGAACTCGATTCCCATCCGATTCCCGTTTCAGCACTCGATGTCCTACGCACAGCCTGTGGGTCATGCTTACTCTCATAGCCGAACTCTTTTTTTCGGAGGGAAGACGATCGCGCAGCAGCGCCAGCGGCTGCAGACAGTGGAGGCCACAGCACCTCTCCGTAGCCGGTTTCAGACACACAGCGAACTAGATGCGCGAGACACATGCATGCATATGTGCATACATACATATACAGAGTGTTATGTTTGTTTGTTTGGTTGTTTGTTGTTTTTTTTTATATGTGGGTGTTGTTGTGTGTGTTCGGTACTGTTTGTTCACATGCAAGTATGTTATATTATGTTATTAATGTATGCATGTGTGCATGTTTGCCTGTATGTATGTATGCATGTAGGTATGTAGATATGTAGCTATGTAGCTATGTATGTATGTATGTATCTATGTATGTATGCATGCATGTATGTATGTATGTATGTATGTTAGTGCCGCGTACTACCTCTGAATGCCTCGAAATGGAAATGTATGTATGTCTGTAGAATGTAATGTATGCAATGTAAGGTAATGTAATGTAATGTAATGTACCGAAATGTAATGTACGGTAACGTCATGTAATGTAAGGTAATGTAATGTAATGCAATGTATGTGTGTAGGTATGTAGGTATGTAGGTAGGTATGTATATAAGCATTTTGCTCACATAGTTGTTTGTACAAACAAAGTGTCTGTATGTGTGTCTATGTATATGTAGACCTCGTCGAGCGCGAGTGCTATATATATATATATATATTCATTCATGTGTGTGTGTAGATGTGTATGTGTATGTGTATGTCATACGCGTACACATAGACATGCTCACACACACACATGCAAGAACACACACATGCCCACATACCCACATACACGCACACACACACATAAATGTGCATACATATACATGTACATATACGTTTATACTTACACATACCCATACATACATGCATGCATGCATACAGACACATACATGCACACACCTATTCATACATGCCTACGTACATACACACACACACACCTTGTGTCGTTCGTCCATTCATACATACATGCAAAGCATACGTGACACACATACAGCACTCGTGTAATTGAACGGTGTTGTTTGCTTCACTTTCTTGTAGGACAGCGGCCGTGTCTCGATTTTGCCATTGTAGGGTTGTGATCTGAGCCGGGCAGGGACAAGTGGGGACATTGGCTGTTTGTTGAGGGTTGTTCCATGGTCGGATCTCGCTGTCTGGCATTGGTGGCAGTTGACGCTGGCTCCAGACTGCGTTGAGATGGGTTGAAGTCTCTTCGGCGTGTGGCTCGTTCCGGCCATTATAGTCATATTCCCGGATTCCCTGAGTCTTGAAATCAGCTACTTTGCGAGGCGCAGCTCCTCGAAGCCGTCCAGGAGAGCAGGCAGAAGCTTGAATTCGGGTTTTAGGGTTTTGCAGGAAGAGTGGCTCCTCTCCTCCCCTTGCTACCCTTGCGACTGCTGTTTCTAGCTCTGCACATCCATGCCGCCACTGGGCATCCTGAATATGCCTCCTCAGCATTGTAGACTCGGTGCGGTGGTAGTTGCTCTGAATAGTCTGGAGTGCTGCGAAATTTGTGCACTTGTTCTACATGCGCAAGCGGATACAACCCTGTCGGAGGTTCGGCATCATAACCACCAGAACGAGTGGCATCAGCCCAGAATCAACATGGTCCAGAGCACGGAGTAGGCATGTAGCAGCGACCAGCGGGACTTCATCGTGAAAGAAAGGCAAACTCTATTCCACGAGCAACGCCGCTCCCGGAACAACCTTAATCGACATGAAGACTTCGCAAATCCAGGGCTGAAGCCGAGTCGGCCTTCCTTCTCAAAGAGGTGGGTCTATAGGCTTCAGAGTTTAGGGTTGTCGCCCTATGGGCTGCAGAGGCTTAGGCTGCGGTTTCCAGGTTTAAGGATTTCAGAGTCTTCCATACACGCAAGAGAGAGACTTGCGGGGCATCTCTGGCTGTGAAGTCCACGTGTGGCCTCGCAAACAAGACGTCCACAGTGTTCTCTTCCCGATCTCTGTGCCCAATGTACAGGTAGATGGATGCGATGTGTGTCTGTGCACGTCGTGTCCATGGGTAGATGTGGGCAAGAAACCGCGATCGTTTCTCTCCCTGTCCGTCTCTCTCCCTCCCGGGCGGAGCGTGTCAAGCTCCCCGGGCTCCAGGCCCATGAAACCTTTTGTTGGACTCTCTCTCTCTCTCTCGATCGGCTTGGAGGGCCTGCTGCGATGCAGTAGACACATGTGCAGGCGCGCTGTGAAATTTCAACTGGCTCTCCCAATGTGTGTTGTGACCTCTCCGGATAGAGGTACGGAAACAGCTGGCCGCGGCGGAGGGCACGAAACGTTCGCTGGCAGAAGGCTTTCCGTGAATTCGGTGCTTGGGTGTGACAAAACAAACCTTGCAGGAAAGGGGGAAGAAGTGACATGGACTTTCGCTTTCAAGGATACAGGGCCTCATTTCGGTAATCGCTACGCACTGTTGATCATAGGAACGTCATTGAGGATGTCAGGCTGCACTTGGTCTAACGAGTCTAGCGGTTCCTCACGTGTGATTGAGTGGACTGAAACGATCTCTGCGATGCGTTCATACAGGATTAAATTATCGGCTGTCACGATGTCTCAGAAAGGACATGCAGAGCAGAGGGCCCGCAAGCAGCAAGAAGTGACCTTGCGGCGTTCGGTTTGCGGAGCCAGAAGATCGACGGAAAACAGAGTCGAGCAAGGCGGAGTCAGCCAGTCGATAGGGTTGCCAAGTCCTAAACCGCCTTGAACAAAGATGTCCGGCACGAGAGTTGGAAAGAGGCGTTGATGGCCCCTGGCGATATGGCGAAATTCCATGGCCTGGCTGCACCTACCCGAGTTGACCCGGTGGCATTTCCCACAAATCTCTGACTCCAGGCCTGGAGCTTGAAAAGACGGCCTGGAGCCTGGGGGAATTCTCATCACAAAGCGCCACTTCAAGACGGATCTTGCAGACTATACTTTGCACGGTTGAGCAACGAAAGCTTTAGCTGGCAGCAGTTGCGACGGCCATGTAGAGTTTTAGAGTTTGCTTGGAGCGGACTTGTTTCTTGAATGGGTGCTTTCGACATGCGCAAGCAGGGCGAAACTAATTACTGTAGCAGCAGCAGCAGCAATTTTCGCTTATGGTCCCCTTGTTATTCAGGCCCCTGTATTAGCAGGTCTGAGGCGTTGAGAGCATGCAGCAGATTCGATGTACCAACTTCAACTACAAGGTGAGAGTGTGTCACTTTCTTCTTAAACCCCCTCCCCCCCCCACCAGGATGAAAGCTACTCTGCACCTGCATCCTAAACCCCGAATCCTTAAACCCACATGCCTCGCCTGGAGAGTCCGAGTCGTGAGTGCCGAAACTATGAGAGTCGAAGCTTTTCGGGCCCCCAGCCCGCATCATTTGGTGGCTGTAGGGAGAGTAGTCCAGGAATCCTGTGCTTGCTTCGATGACCAGTGTTTTCGGTGTTCTTGGCAAAATGAACAATCCTAAACCCTAAACCCTATAGACCCTAAACCCTAAACCCTAAACCCCTAAACCCTAAAAGGGTGGTGTTTTGGTTGCTGGCCGTCCCAGGAGGCCGAGCGCTTGCGAGCAGAGGTCGCGAGCCAGGGTCTCAGCTCGATACGGATTCCCGGGGCTATGTAGAATCTATGATCTGTTCATCTAGTATATAAAGAAATGCACGTTCACCCTATACAAAATATATACATACACAGATATATATATATATATATAAATAGAGGTAGATGTATTCGCACATAAGTTGCCAATGTAATGCAATGTAGTGAAATGCCAATGAAATGTAATGTGATGTTATATATATATATACATATGCATGCATATCGGTCCGTCCTAAGCGTTGCTAAATGAGACGGGCCCCCGGATTGCAGAAGCGTCAGAAAGTGGTGTTCCCTTGGCAAGTCCTTCGGAGCTGTACCGGATGTTTAATCTGAATGTTGAATCCAGTGGTGTGCGTTTTGGTGGACACTAGTCCACGACCAAACCACGGAATGACTGGTTTCTGCATCCTGCGTGGGCTCGAAGATTAGATATCTTTGCTTGGGCCTCTCTGGCACTCTGCGCGTCGAAACCTGTGCTTCTCGGCTTGGCAGAATCGTTAGCGTTGGGTCCAGGCGCGTGGTGCGCTCTACCACTGAGCGCTAAAGCACCTGCAGCACACGCATTGTCACCCAAGACAAGCATAAGTCGGAGGAATGCGTGACAGTGCACGGCAAGTGGCAGTACTCCGATTGGGTTCTACTCACTGCGTTGTGAAGATTCTGAATGTATATCATGCAGAGCTGTGTGCATGACAACGGTCTGAAGCTTCTATCGCAAGGAAGATCAATGCCGTTCCATGAGCCTCGTCTCGCTCCTCTGAAACAGCCACTCGGCTTTGGGGACACCGTCCTTGACGAGGTGGCAGTATTCCCATTCATGACCAGTATTGCAGTTGTACATGCCTATTTTTTCAGGTTCGATCGTTAACTGTAGCCAAGTTTGGTATAGTATATGGTACTGCACAAAGGCACTACCTAATTCTGAACCCTGCAAAATCACGAAGACAACTGCAGCACACTCCTTCAGTCTGAGTGTCGAAACATGTCAGAGCAAGTACATAAGAGTGAAAAACAAACATTGGCATTTTGGTCCTTTGGAGCCTTGGACCCGACTCTTCGTCCCAAACCCTTAATCTCTTGAAGGATGAGCTCCAGCCAGCTTTTGCCTGTCCGTCCAAGGATCTTCTTGCATTTCGCAGTCGCTCCTATGCAATTCGAAGTTAGAGTTGTGTTAGGGTTCAGGCCATAGACCTGACGGTTCGCAAGACGAACGATGGATTTCCAGGGGGTGTTCTCCTGCAACGAGCCGACGATTCACAACCCGACAGTCGTGTGAATTATAACAATAATATTTCTACAGTGTGACTGCTGTTGTTAAGATTCTTATGATCAAGACCGTGATGATGATTCTTATTACTACTACTGCTGGTCAATTATAAACCTTCGTGTCTGCTGCAGATCTTCAGGAGCAAGCCAGGCCAGCGCGTATAATGTAGGGGCTGAAATAATCCCCCATATAGTATTTTGGGGCTCCGTATTCTAATCATAGTATATTATAGTAGAATATACCCCGAGACCCTATTACAATAGTTAAGGCTAGTACGACGGGCGTAACTGTTTCACGTGTGCGTGTGTTGGTTTCTGTGCCCACTTCCTGGTGTGCATGCTGCCTGCATACATTTCGATACCTAGCCACCTACTTATCCATCCGTCTGTGTCTACACGCACACATACACAGCCTAGCGCAAGCTATCCAGACTTTCAGTGCACGTATCGCCGAGGAACCCAAAGCCAGCAACTTGCGTCGATGCAACAGTTTTTCAGGGTATGTGCCCTTTTCTTTGAGTGGCGCAGCCGGACAGCATCTCGGCTTGGAGAAGTTTCTCAATTTTGGGAGGCATCCTACATTGGGGTTTCTCGGTTTAGGCTCTTTGCTTTGGATCCGCAGGTGAGGATCGCACATCTAGTCGTGTCCATAAAAGAACCTATGAACAATCTGAGCATGTGCCTAGGTTCCAGTTAGAGCCCAGAAACATTCCACGTCCAACTGTTCCTCGGTATGGACGACCCTAGACCCAAAAACCACAATGCCTAGGACCAAAACCCTAAACCCTGAACCTGTTGACTCAGCCAGCTTTGACATTCCCGACAAAGGACGAAAAGCGGAGGGAAAAGGGGCGATGTAAACAAGCTGAGCCCAAGACCATTAAACCCAGGTCGTAAAGACCCTCAAAGATCACACGGATCCTGGGGTCACCCGCAAGAATCTTCTATGGCCTTAGTGTACCTGATCCTTCCCGAAGTAATCCTCGAAGTCCATAACTAGTATATATAGCTTCTTGTCCATTGGATTTCGGCGAGAGGAAGACCCACCCTGAATTAGCAGGTTCCCTAAGGGTCCAAGTACCTAATAACCATATACTCTCCCAAATATTAACCTAAATAGCTACTATCCGCAACCAAAGTACCTTATTACTGGGTCCTTTGGACCCTTAGGGGTTGTTTCTTTATGGGACTTTGTTGTTTGGCGGTCTTGTACTTGCTATTGTCCCCACTTCTCAGCGGACCTCGAAACCACATGCCTCGCCTGGATTGCCCGAGGAAATCCTAGGGCCCTGAACCCAAGACCCTTAAACTTAAACCCTGCGAGAGCGTGAACCCTCACATTCTGAACCCAAAACCACAAACCCTTAAACCCCAAACCCTAAACTTGGCCCTAAACCCTAAACCCTTAAACCCTTCCTCAAGCCGTAAACCCCTAAACCCCTACACCCTAAACTGCTGAGGCATGGAAACCATTCGGAGGTTGGAATGTCTGCATATCTGGAGGCAGATCTCCCGACGAAGCCTGGCTTTTACCATGCTTTCTAGTTTGGGCACCTTTTAGGGTTTAGGGTTTAGGGCCTAGGGTTTAGGGTTTGGCCAACTTGTACTTGTAGAGTATTATGTGACGTTACAGTATATTATATTACATATTGTGGGAGGTTTCTTGGCGGGCCAGGGGTTATCCCAGAGACAGATTGCTCGCGGGTCTGGCCTCTTCTCCATCCGTGCATCTGCAAGTAGTATGTCAATGTATTGAGCAAGTCTCTAGCAGGAGCACCAGTCGTGGATGGAGTAGCGCAGCCTCGGCAAAGGTTACATGCTGACTACCCCGACGTCGACTCGACGCCCCACTGGCCGGATACCGATGATGAGAGCGAGTCCTGGGACGGTGAGCTGAGCTGCACCGAAGTGTCAGATGCACTATGTGTATGATGCCTTGGATGCCTAGGCTATAGAGCTCGTGTGATTTGGCCGCAGCACTTACTTGCCCCGATGAGTTTCGCGTCGGAATTCGAAGTGCGACAGGATTCCGAGTTCACGGTTTGTGTAGTTTGATTGACGGTAAACTTCTAGTGAAATCTTAGTCTTTAGGGTTGGAGAACGCAGCAAAAATCAAGTCTTCAAGTTTTCCGCCATCTCCGCAACCCCCCAGACCCCAGACTGCTCTCCAGCCCAGGCGACGTGCAGAGGAAGCAAGTTGATCTTGACGGGATGTCAACGAGCAGCCAGATGTTGTCTAGTCTTGGCGGCCACCTCTAGGCAAAATACAGTGTGGTGCTCTGCTTGCTGACCGTCAGCGGAGTCCTCGTCACAGTTCAGTTGGCTCGAACCCAGAGATGCAGCATCCACAATGTCGAAAGGCGTGATTGAGATTCTCGGGACGCCTGCATTCTAGTGTAGGAGTGTTAGAGGCTGGCGAAGGTGGGACAACTCTGCACGACGTTTCGTTTCCAAGCTTGGCATATCTTAAAGTTGGTGCCCATCAGCCAAACTAAAACTAAGGCACCGAACAAACAACGCCTTTGCGGTTGAGCTTGACTGCTCTGCTTCCCAGTGATGAAGTCCAAGGCATCCGGCCCTTCGCATGATGGAACCTGCAAGCCCCGCAGTTCTGAATTTGCCTTCGTGATTGGGGATAAGGTAGGCCTAAATAAATACCAATAAATTTTTTGGGGCTCCTTATTATAATAGTTATAGTATAATATATCCCAAAATCCCGTTCTAATTATTAAGACCCCTACCTATATATATATATATATACACACATATATTATACTGTCTTGGTTGCTACAAGGTTACTATCACGTTTTACGGTTTAGGGCCGTTTTCGTCCTGGCGGAGTCTCAGCAGGCTAGTTGCAAAAGGCCTCCTACGGCAATGTGCCCTGCAGCCCCAAATGGTCATGGTTTAGGGTTCTTTCTTGCCCAAAATGCCAGAGCTGGCCGTGCCAAGGGTTGTCTGTTGTGTGCCGCTGCACCGTCGAACATTGCAGTTACCTGGCCGACTGTAGGGACCCCAAACAGCAAGCTTGCTCGTAACGTTCCGTGCAAGCTCATACTATGCGTTCGGAGTTTGTATGTAGAAGCTGATGTTTCGGAGCGCTGCCCCTGCGCAGGCTGTCGAAGCCGAAGTGAGAGCAAGGAAAGCCAGGCACTGGGCGGCTTGCCGATGTCTGTGCCTGCGCAGCAGTGGAGGGAAGCTCGGAGGGTCACGGGGAACTCAGTCCCTTCCTTCTGGTATGTTCTTATGGTTTCTTATCGTTCTCCGAAAGGTTCGGAGTTGATATTCCTGAATGCTCCCACGCGCCCGGAGCCCGCGCTGCTTGCGCAGTACTGAAAATCTATATAGGAAGCCTTGCTCGGTTCTGTGATGCAGGTGATCAGTGTGTGTGGCTCCGACCCAGTGGACCACTCCGACAGCGAGGGCAGCAAACCAGAGTCGCCTGCAGAAACGGAAATTCTGGTTGGGCATCATTGGGACGATCTTCGACCCAGGAAGATCTTGAAGGGTTCGGGAGCGAACAAGCCAAGACAGATGACCCAGCCGTAGCAGCGCGAAGGCTATACAACAAGGATCAACAAGGTAAAGGTAGATTACAAGTACTTTGCAACATTGCGAGTGTCCCGGGTTTCCTTACATGAAGGGGTAGATGTGCTCTTTGATGCTCTGCAGTCCTGTTGCCGCCACCGCCGCTGCGGCTGCTGCTGCTGCTGCTGCTAATGCTGCTATTCACTTACTGATTGTACGTACTTACTACGTAGTACCGATTACGAGGACGACAGTGGCGACCACGTTTACTTGTAGCACTGCTCATATAAGCAGAGTTGGTTTGAGTTGGTCACTACTGCCTTTCGCCACGACCTGCATATTCAAGATACCAGAACAAGGACCATATTCTTGCACTGAGGAACCTTATTATCTCTGAAAACAGCCATACTATTTATAAAGGAAGCCAGGCTATTGACGAAGGCAAACCCTATCATTTTACTACGGAAGCCCTGTTATTATTTACTTTGTATCCCCATGCCAGTCTGCTGCAAGCCGAGGCCCCATTTTCAGCCCTACGCCGGAGTTCCGATGCCTAACGTTGGCCACCAGTCTGAATTGAGTAGTCGTCGTCGTAGTGTAGTAGT